TTATATTATATTATATTATATTATATTATATTATATTATATTATATTCTTATGGGCCCCAAAGCTGAGCCCTGGGGGACTCCACATGTCAGAATCACACCTGATTGACAGCGACTGAAAGCTCTGACAGGAGATGAGAAACGCTCTACTACTGAAAATCCTGATAAAATCCTCAGTGTGAGATAAAAAAGTTTGAAAAATGATCCGTTTATTGATGTCAGCGCAGCTTCAGACCTTCTCCGACCTTTGACTGTGAGAGGGTTCAGTTTCAGGTCAAAATAAAAGGTGTTGGCTGTTCTAAACTTGGCTGATTTGTGCTTCCTTTGGGCTCTTTTTGCTCTCAGGGGAGGGAAGGGGGGGGGGTGTTATTTGGCATGAACTTAAGGTGGAATTGAACATTGAAGAGCAGCTGATGCAGCAGCATCTGATCATCAGGCTGAATCAGCTCCAGGGTCACGATAGTCCAGATCCCCACGGGCAGGCAGCCATTTTAGTTATTATGTAGGTATTATAGTAGTATTATATTAGATATTAGCTATTATGTAGTTATTATCTGAGATATTAGCTATTATATAGCTATCATAGTAGTATTATGTAGTCATCATATTAAAAAATTAGCTATTTTTAGGTATTATATTAGATATTAGTTATTATGTAGTTATTATAGTAGTATTATGTAGTTATTACATTAGATATTAGTTATTATAGTAGTATCATGTAGTTATTATATTAGATATTAGTTATTATGTAGTTATTATAGTAGTACTATATTAGATATTAGCTATTATGTAGTTATTATATTAGATATAAGCCATTATATAGCTATTATAGTAGTATTATCTCGTTATTATATTAAACAAGTAGCTATTTTGTAGTTATTATATCAGATAGTTATTATGTAGTTATTATATTAGATAGGTATCATGTAGTTATTATATTAGATATTGGCTATTATATAGTTATTATATTAGATTTTAGCTATTATATAGGTCTATAGTAGTATTATCTAGTTATGATATTAAAAAAGTAGCTATTTTGTAGCTATTACATTATATAGTTATTATGTAGTTATTATATTGGATATTGGCTATTATATAGTTATTATAGTAGTAATATGTAGTTATTATATTTTATATTAGCTATTATGTAGTTATTATATTAGTAATATATGGTTATCATATCAGATATTAGTATTATGTTGTTATTTTTGTTTCAAAGCCTCTTTTTTATAGTCTAAAAGTTTAACGCTTCATTTTAGATAATATATCTCTAAAGCCTGCAGCGCCCCCCTGAGGGCAGGAGGCCTCATAGCGCCCCCCTGAGGGCAGGAGGCCTCATAGCGCCCCCCTGAGGGCAGGAGGCCCCACAGGCCTGCAGCGCCCCCCTGAGGGCATAAAATAATAT